CGATAGTTTACCAATCAATTGTTCTAATCTTGATTGAATATGCACTTCTATAAATAGATTAAATAATAAGTAAAAGAATTATGATTTAAACACAGACTTTTTACACTCAAACTTAAAATAAGCATTTGTCAACCAGGAAAGCCCTCTCGAGCAATATTTCACAGAGTTGGATACTTGGATGTTAGTCACTCACTAATATATAATTTATTTCACAGACTATGATACACGTCGAAATTCTTGTGTCATGTACCTTTTTATTTTATTAAAATTTATTAGTAGCTTCTTGATCTTTTTACAACTATTGATTAATCGTACTGCTACAAGTCAAAAAGTAATAGTTTTCAAACGACAAATTATATAGATTTTCGTTCTGACAATGTTATTTTTACCTTGTACTAAGATTTTTTTTTCTTCGAGACACGTGCCGAAAGAAGGGGCCTTATATACAGAAACAAGAAAATTGAGTCTTTTTATTTGTAGGTTCAAATTATCGATTTTTATGTAAATTACCAAGTTTTTAAATTATTTCTTAATATTATTTGTGTCTCAATTTTTTTTTAGTATTCAGAAGTGAATCAATTAAAAAAATAAATGGTAGCTTGTGAATTATGTCTATTTATTATTTCATGTATCAATTGATATAAGAGTTGCATTCGCTCTAAAAGATGCAATAATTGCCGTGTTGTTGTTCGATGATGTTTATGGTTATTATTGTATGACGTATATGAAATCACTATTTTGTTGACAAGAAGATTGGTGGATGAGAATCGCATGAACAACGAGTCATCATTATCGACTTTTCAACACAATTACGAATTTCGCAAGTAACTTGAAAAATGATTAAAATTTGAAGGCGATTTTTCTTTTTAATATTGTTAGAATGATGCAATTAACATGCTAACCAATAGGTCTTATTAACTTATAATAATAAAAAATTACTTATAACTAAAATTTGAAGCTTGGTCAAACATGCAGTGAGTAATCGATTAAAGGGCAAAAAAAAATGGAAATTGTGGTGAGTAGCTCGTTTGGGACATAGGTGGGGCAAAATTCCCGTACAACGCACAGAAGAGAGAGAGAGTTCAAGGCACATAGGGAATTGAGAAGATAAGGCTGCAAGTAACGTCGTTAATTGTTCCAATTCTCCGTTACCATATTCGTCTTTCCTCCTTCGCCATCTACCGTTCACACGGACCACATGTTGACGGCGGCGGGGTCATGTCTTCAATTGGACTCCATCACGTGGGCCATATCTGAAACTGTGTATGTGATTATCGACCGAGCCACGCGCTGATTGCATTCTTATCCTAATTTGTAGAGTATTTGTCCAAAAAACATAAGAACTGTTTTGGTAGTTTTCCTAGGTACCAATATTAGCAAAATTTTGCTCTAGGCATATAAGACCCCCCCTAAAAAAGGGCATAACAATTTTAAGAAGTGTGTTTTAATCAATTTTATAATGTTCCTGTCTCGAAACACCCAGGAATGGGCATGGATAACATGGTCTGGGTCCTGCCTTTCGAAAATCCACGTTGGGATCAAGAACATGGAGGGCCATCTCCGTCCTGCCTTGTCCATCTCATCCTCTAGGGATTCTTTCAAGGAATGTTTTATTTCTATTTTACGTGTAAGATTTGAATTTTGAACCGATTCTTGATTTTACCTATTAAATCAGTTAATTCGATAGCGTAGGGTAGCTACTAAGCAATTTTGAAACTCGATAGCGAGTCAAAACGAGACAACAATAACAAAGAATATGTCAGTATAGTCCAAAATCTCATAGTTAGCTTTCGATCTTCCATATATGCAATCGTCAAGAGTTGAAATTCGATCTAAGCTCTCGTGACATTAGTTTTAATACAAGATAGATTCTTTACTATAAATATACATAAAAAAGTGGAATTAATGATGAACTTGAATTTTATTGTATTGCTACTTTAAAGACACAGGATTCTATCTTATGTGTTTAACCAAGAATAATTTTGAATTCTTGAATTTTTTATGTTACGAGTTTATACGTGTTCCAAAAAAAATGGACCAGATTTCTATATATAGAATAATATAAAGAATCTTCGCACTTATTTTCATAAAAAAAACTACATTATTTAATTTTGTGTTTTTTAGAAGGGGGACAAAATATGCAACTTGTGATCCTATCCGCTAATAAATTGTACTTGATAATTTGTTAAAGTCGAATTTCCTTAATTAAATAACACTTAAGTATTTTAATTACAATAACATCTCTTTCTAATGTCATGTTATAATCAATTGAAATGTCAACTTCTTCTCCATGATATTAATTATTGAGTGCTTCTCTCATTAATATCCAAATTAAATGAAGCCATGAACAAGTTAATATATTTCATCTTACTATTTCTTTTAGTGCTAGGATTAATCAATTTTTGGGTATGTCAAATCACTTAGGAATACTTTGATTCTAAATTGTTCGTGCGAAACTCATAAACTTATGTGATCGTTAACAAGTAATAAAATCAGTCAGTTGAGACGGTTAATAAATTCGAATTATACAAAAAGAAGAGAGTTTGATTTAATCTATGCTAAATTAATCTAAGAAAACTGTAAAAGTTTGACTTTTATCAAATTATAGATGATAATATTGGATTTCGAATCCGCTTATTCCTATATGTTTCAATTCTTGATTTGCAATATAGTTTCGTTCATACGTTCTTGATTATCGATAAAGTTATGATATATAATTTTCTTTAAAAAGATAAATTAATTATATTTTAGTCACGTTTCGAATCTATTCCTAATTCGAATTCGAATTATTAGAATGCATTAAAATTTAGATTATCTATATGATTGCACATGTGATAAATATTATTCCTAACATCTATTACACATATGTTAATTTTGTCGCGTTCTAAATTTATTGTGAGTCTCCTAACATTATAACAATCAACCAATTAGATAATATGTTAAAATCGCGTCCAATTGGGTTCCAAAAGGATTTGAATTGCAAAAAGAAACTGATGATTTATCTGCGAAAATGGGTCCCAGTGCGCGCTATTGAGTAGTTTTGTTCTCGGTAATTAAAATTTCAGTCTCGCACGAGCGTCAAAAAAACCCCACGCGCTCACGCAAGATCGCGGATTTCGTCCCTAAATAGCTTTTGGTATTTTGATCATAACTTTTTCTACTAATTTCCGATTGAGGTGATTCGAAGTATGTTAGAAATATAATTCAAAGGGTTACAATTCCTATAGAAATACAACATTTTCAATTCGAACATTTGCTATCTGAAAAATGGGTCTCAAGTTGAGGCTAAAAATTCAAAGCATAACTTTTTCGGTTGGAAATTGATTTGTTGAAATATTTCAACTATATTTCATTCATTTGACCTCGAATTGCATCCAATTGATTCTATATGATCTCCAATCATCGTTTGTGGTCCGAATCAACTATTGAATGTTTACCAAATTTTAAATTTCTTTCATTTTGCCATTTTGCCATTTCTTTCTATCAATTCCACCAATTTGTATTGAGTTCAACTTAACAAACATAATTAATACAAAATTAAGCTATAACTTATCCAAATTACTAAAAAATACTTCAATTTAATTGCATATATAAGTGTACAAAATACACTTACCATAAATCAATAATTAAGGTTAGAGCCAACGATAGATACTAGCTAAAAGTTCGTTAAATTGTCACACGCTTAATAAACATGTCTCTTTTTAGAAACTATCTCATGCGAAAAAGTAAAATTTTAAACCTATTTTTTAATGAAGAAGTTACGGATTAGCTTGCCAATTGAGAAACATGTTTGAAGATTAATACTATAATTTTCTCATCTCAATCATGAAAAGATAAAATATTTGATTCTTTTAAATTAAATTTCTAATAATAAGTTTGAAAAAAATAAAGTAATAAAAAACTTAACTCCTAAGTTGTAAAGAAGTAAGGCTATGTTTAATTGCCACATTTTTTATGAAAAATATCACATACGAGGAAAACGAACTCTAATTTGGCCGTTTAATTGCAACGTGGAAATGAAAATTGAATTTCAAGGTACAACCACTTTAAATTGCATTTTCTTTGTTTTCATGGAAAACGAATTCTTATGGGTATGGTAAGTTTATTTTTTCCAACTAAAATGGAATTGAAATTCTTTTCTACCTTTACCTATCAAACGGACCCTAAAAACAATATTCCACAGTAGTTTTTGCACTCAATATCTAAACATTGTTGTGCCTTATTTGATTTAGCTAAAATTTAAATTTTTAATAGATATTGGTAAAAGTGTTATATATCATACTACTCAAATCTTTTCCTTTTATTGAATTGTAGATCGAGATACTCTCGTCCAAGAATGAACAAAGGGAGGACGGTTTTATAGGAATAGATAAATATGTATTTCAAAATGAGATAAAAATTGTGAAATTCATAAAATGTGTGATAGGAAATAAATTTGATAAAAAAAATGAATTTTATAATATGAGGTGAAATAAAAGCGAAGAAATCTCTCTGTAAAATAATTTATTTTGTAGCAGTAAAAAAAGTTTGACAGTACACTCGAATAATTGCATCTATAGTCAAAAAATGCAAAGTTCCATCTTATCTGTTTCTGTTGTGGCTGTATTTTTCAGAGAGAGCACTTTGATACGAGCGCTTTCTCTGTCTTCCTCCGTGAATCATGCTCCGTGTACACTAAATTTTACATTTATACAGACTTTTTCATCTACAGTTTTTTTAAAAGCAATGAAATGTCAAGCAGGATGTCAAACTTTTTAATTTACATTTCGTGCTGCTGTTATTATATAGTACAATCTTTTTTCTCACTCCAAAAAACCCTCTATTTCTCTCTCTTCCTTTCTGAATAACACGAAAATTTACAGAGCCCATATGTGAAAAATCAAGAAACCCCCAATCCCCAATGCTCAGATTCTTCTTCTTCAACAACCATTCATCAACTCTCTTTTTCCTTTAGTTTGTGTGCAGAAGAGAAACCCAGATCAAAGAATCCCAAGGAAATCATGAAGAGGGACAATTCGAATCAAGAAAATTTTGCCACGAGTGGGAGTTCTAGTTCATCCGACAAGGGAAAGATGTGGTGTGAAGAACAAGATGCAGGTGGTGTTGATGAACTGTTTGCAGTTTTGGGTTACAAGGTTAAATCGTCTGATATGGCTGAAGTTGCGCAGAAGCTTGAACAGCTTGAAGAAGTGATGGGTAGTGTTCAACAAGATGGGCTTTCTCAGATAGCATCTGATACTGTTCATTACAATCCTTCAGATCTATCATCATGGCTTGAATCCATGATTTCTGAGCTTAATCCTAATTTTGACTACTTCAGCTCTATTGTTCAAGATCCGTTCCTTGAATCATCTACTGTTACTAGTATTGATTCTCACAGCCATAACAGCTGGAATCGCCATGCCCGTGCTCCAATCTGTGTTTCGACCCAGCAACAAATGGTTGTTGATTCAGATTTTGGTTCAGATCTTATTTCTATTCCGGGGAAAGCTGTGTATCCCACAAGTCAACAGCACCCACCGCCCCAGCATCAGCCACAACCCAAAAAATTGAAGCCATCATCATATTCTGGTATGGCAAATTCTACTACCGTTTCTTGGGGTTCGCCTAGTGAGTCAATTTCTGCACATCCCATTGAGTCTGCCCGTCCCATGCTCCTGGTTGACTCACAAGAAAATGGTATTAGGCTAGTCCACACCTTGATGGCTTGTGCAGAGGCTGTGCAACAAGAGAACTTGAAATTGGCTGAGGCTTTGGTCAAACAAATTGGGTTCCTTGCAGTATCACAAGCAGGGGCTATGCGAAAAGTAGCTACATATTTTGCTGAAGCATTAGCCAGGAGAATTTACAAATTATATCCCACAAATCCACAAGATACAGCCTTCACTGACCTCCTTCAAATGCACTTCTACGAGACCTGCCCGTATCTGAAATTCGCCCATTTTACCGCTAATCAAGCCATTCTCGAAGCGTTTGAAGGTAAAAGTCACGTCCATATAATTGATTTCAGTATGAAACAGGGGATGCAATGGCCTGCTCTTTTACAGGCCTTGGCCTTGAGGCCCGGCGGCCCGCCCAGCTTCCGATTGACAGGAATTGGGCCGCCTTCACACGATAACATCGATCATTTACAAGAAGTGGGGTGTAAATTGGCTCAATTGGCTGAGACAATTCACGTTGAGTTTGATTACAGAGGATTTGTGGCTAATTCATTAGCTGATCTCAACGCATCGATGTTTGATGTAAGGGAAGGTGAAACTGTGGCTGTGAATTCCATTTTCGAGCTTCATCAGTTGCTGGCCCGACCCGGCGCCATTGAAAAGGTGCTGCAAGTCGTGAGCGAGATGAATCCTGAAATCTTGACTGTGGTTGAGCAGGAGGCTAATCACAATGGAATGGTTTTCTTGGACCGGTTCACGGAGTCTTTGCACTATTATTCAACCTTTTTCGATTCGTTGGAGAGCAGCGGCGGCGGCGGCGATGTTGGTGGCGTGGCTGTGAGTGTTCAGAACAAGGTTATGAGTGAAGTTTACCTGGGGCGGCAGATCTGTAATGTGGTGGCGTGTGAGGGACCGGACCGGGTGGAGAGGCATGAGACCTTGGTCCAGTGGAGAACCCGGTTCGAGTCTGCCGGGTTTGAGCCGGTTCATTTGGGTTCAAATGCTTATAAGCAGGCTAGTATGTTACTGGCCTTATTTGCAGGTGGAGATGGGTATAGAGTTGAGGAAAAAGATGGGTGTTTGACATTAGGATGGCATACAAGGCCGTTGATTGCTACCTCGGCATGGAAACTCAGCTAAGACACCGAGTCTACCGAACCCGGTTGATTAACTCGGTTTTGAAGGTGTACGCACCTTAGTGAGGGTGAGACCCACCACTCCCAAGTGTGTCTCCCTTCTACTTTTTTCTTTATATTTCCGTTTTTCTTCCTTTTTTTTTTAACCGATCTTTTTTAGGGCTTTGAAATTTAATTTACTTGTTTTATTGGGTGGAATCTTGTAATTCTGAGGGGTGAGTGAATCTGAAATAGTCAATGTGTATTTATTTATTTATATATAGCTTTTGCCTCAATAAAAAAGAAAGCTCCCTTTTGGATTCTTGTTTGGGTTTGTGATTTCAATAGTTTGGATTCACGTAATTATCGAATCAAACATGAATTCGAACAGAAAGCTCTCTTTAGGATTCTTGATTGTGTTTATGTTTTGTGCATGTGATTTTAACAGACTTGGGCACTGGGTAGGGATGTAAATTCAGCTGGGATTCGGTCCGAAAAAAGCTTGAACCAGCTCCATTCGTGTCAAGCGACGGGTGAGCCCAAATGACAAACAAAGGGTCTAGTTTTTGTCAAAATTTCAGCTCCTTTCTCCACATAAGTAATAAACTTTAATCATTCAAGAAAACAACCCTACTGTTAATTTCTTTTCACTTGGGTGTAAATTTTTCAACGAGTGACTTATGTAAAAGATAACTACAATTAAACAAGATATCAATATGAAAGAAGAATAATTAAAGTTGATGCCACCTTAGCATGTTATTTACTAATCTAGTCACTATATTATATGATTAAGTTGCCCTAATATGGGCCATCTATGCTAATTAATTTTTGTTTAATGATTATTATTACATCTAAACAATAATTTTGCCGTCCTTTTGGTGATGTTGAAATTAATAACGAGTGGGTGAGTTCATTGAATCTTGTAAGAGATATGGCCGATTAGACATATATGGGACCGGACGCTTCATAAATTTCAAATATCATCATATTTGCGACACCTCCAACTTACGTACTAAGTTATATTGTTAATATAGTTTGAATACAAATGACTCAACAATTTGACTTTGAGGCCATGGATAGGAGTCTTTCTAAAAACAATTGAAATTATGTTATCAATCGTAGATTTTGTATGATTAGGGACAGAGGGAGGGGGCCAGGCCTTCCCCCCGAAGCCCATTTATTAAGGTAATTTTTTTTGGATTAATCTATATGTGCATAGGTGTACACATAGGGGATGACATAATGTGAGTGGGGTACTGTAGTGCAGGCCCCGCTCCACTCACATTATGTCATCCCTTATATGTACACATAGCATGATTCATTTTTTTTTTCTATATATTCGCTCACTAGAATTTTTTTTGTCCCCCGACTCCTCTCCTGAGTATTGTTGTTGATGATTCTGAGCATAACATAATTTGTTTAGTTTGATGGAACTATTGACACGCTTGCTTCAAGATTTTTGATGTTCTTGTTATCAGTGAGTAGAGGTGTAAATGGCTCGACTCATTGACCCACGAGCTCGTGGCTCGTGTGCGGCTCGTGGGCCGAGCGAGCTTTAGCTCGTGGCTCGAGTAATTTTTTTTTTAATATATATTAATAAGATAAGCCTTTTTTTTTTGTTAAAAAAAATGAATTTTTGGACGATCCCACGAGCTGGTCGTGAAAAAACGAGCCGAGCGGGGCTCGCTTGCCTAGCCAGCCCACCGCTCGGCTCGTGCTCGGGCTCGGCGGCAACGATCCGGCTCGACTCGATTGCCACCATTATTAGTAAGGTTATCGAGAATCATCTACAAGAAGCCGTAAGTGACCTTCGATGGTATGACTATTGGTAATCAATATATATCGATGATTCAATGGAATTTTTGACAAAATATCACCGTCTTCTTCTTTTCTTTAGTGTCTATGAAGTATAGATTTTCACTATGCGAAATGTCATTTATCTCCCAGCTGGTAACAATTACATTGCTATGGGGAAATTATGGCCAGATGTCATACACAGACTTACCGAACGCATAACAAGAAATCTACAATATTCATAGTAATAATATTTTTCGAAGCAAAGTTTCTCTTCAAGTATGTGTTGATGCAAATAAAAAGCTCAATCAAATGTAGGAACTAATTTTCCCATCAAAATTCTCTTGCATAAAATCTTGAACGTGAGCCTAAAGTTTCAACCATATATCACACGTTGGAAAAAAATCACAACCACGGGTCAACGAGCAAATTAGGAAAGAGAAATAAAATGAGGAAAAAAAACAACACGTACATGTGCTCGAGCGAAATACAGTCACAAGAGAAGAAGAATATACTTCTCAATTTAAGTCAAATATCCAACACGTGACACACGAGATAATAAATGGGCCATTCCCTTTCCCATTATTCTCTTCAATTATGATTAGATATCTTATTTTCATAATTCTTAAATGTAAATCACAACTTTCATTAACTTTTCAATCATACATTTTATTAATTTTTATAAAAAAATATATTAAAAATAAAACCATTTTTAAAAAATTCTTTTTCTGGATGGTTGGTTTCGATGTCAAAAAACAATTAAAAGAATCACATTCAAGAAACTTCATAAAGGTCAAAGACTTCCCCTTTTAACCTAAACTTTTTGTAGACATAACTTTGACACTATTGAAGCCAGCTAGCAAATTAAACAATGGAAGAATATCGCTTTTTAGCTTCAACTCTTAAATGATTAACTCATCTATCAATTAGGGTTAGTTTTGACTATTACATGTAAAAGTTTATAGCGCAATTATAAGTGCACCCACCTCACACGTGTGTACACTACACTTTTCAAAAGGCGTTGTACGCTTTTCAGCAACAATCAATTAATATTCAATATATACAAGACATGATTGTTCAACTATCATTCTTATTTATTACATAATTCTTATTACAAGAATTTCATAAACGCTTCCGCATCATAATTTCTTCATGGGTGTCGGCCATCCCTCTCGATGATTCTTAAGCACCATTTTAATTAAGCAAAGGTTAAATTGTCTGTCAAAATTCTTTCAAAATATATCCACTTATTAGTAGTTTTGAATTTCAAATACTAGTAGAGATGATAATCATCTTTCACACCTTAAATATAGATCGACTACCTCTAATGAACACGCATCTCGTGATATATTTAATATCGAGTTTATGTCGCTATATCTCCATTGCATAAGAAATTTCTTTTAAATTATTAAATAATCTAACGTAGCACGAAGACATGTAAACACTCTCTTCTTTTAATATTAGTTATTTGAATTCCAATTCCAATATCTAATTGCTATTTATAAGAAAAGTCATTGAGAATACTTTATGTGTGAACTATTTCACCTAAATTCTTCAACGAGTGTAATTTGAATTATATGGAGTGGAAATTGGTAACATTTGAACTTGACATTTCCACGATGACACTAGACAATGGAACCTTTCAAAATTAATCAAGCACGTCGAAAACACAACTTTCGATTTTTTGAAAGCTCTACCAGACATGCATAGATTACTTGAGTTTACTTAAAACTTTCTCGTCAAAATTATTAAACAAATAAAACTTTTCATAACTGTTGATCCAACTTCGTCTAACCTGGTACAGCTTGATACAGACCATGCTTACTTGCCACTTTGTGTGTAAAGAAATAAATATATGCAGATTGGACCCTTCATCTTAAAAAATCATATCATATGGGTCCATATGCCTTTTTTTAGCTCCTAATTTCCTCCCCACTTCCTCTATCGACATAGTAAATAAAGCTTTTATTTACTATAGAAAAACTAGCTCATGCAAAGCCAAGTCAAACTAAATCACTTGAAATATTGGAAACCGTGCATGTACCTACGTGTGTACGTTCCAATTCTTTCTTGATACTTCTCAAGAAAATCTTGGATTAAATCCATTGATATAACCTCTTATGAACTGGTTTTAACTTATTCCTAAACAAGTCATAAATATATGGTGTTTCCACGTTGGATCAAGAACACGATCTTGATTAATTGAATTGCACGATTTTTTTATCAGCTAACGGTGTAATTAACGACTTCCTTCATTTTGTCATTGTGCTGCGATTATTTTAAATGTTTGGAACAGTGCGAATAGTGAAATATTTGGGACCACTGTTACAACTATCCCAATAGAAAATGGGTTAATCCATTTATACATAATGATTTGTACATAATGGATTACCCCTTCTCACATAATGTGCGGGGTCCGCGTGTATTTAAAAATTTCGATAATGTGATCCATATCCCCATTGTGAGTAATAGGTAAAAGATTCAGTAAAAAAATTCGGTACATGTAGTATGATCCATAGAAAATCACGCGTTTAAAATATTGGGTGTCAGCATCAGTCGTGGGGTTCCATGTTTGGGGGCTGAGTGGGAGGTTGAAAGTGACTTTAAGTTTGGAGATCAATGCTTTTGAGTTGTCGCCCAATTTCCACTGAATATTCCACTACAAAATGTCCCAATTCTAATTTTTTAGATATTTTATGTTGAAAATTTAGAATTGTTCCAGTCCATAATGACTTTCTGCAACTGAGTGGTTCTAGTGAAAGAATCTAATTGGTACATCTGTACAACATTGTACCAAGGCATTGGCAACATCAGTGAATGCATATTGTCTTTTAAATTTTAAAAAAAGTAGATTTTTTTTGCTATATGTAAAGGGGATCGATTCTAATGAAAGAATCTAATTGGTACAAGTGACATTGTAACGAGGCATTGACAACATCAGTGGATGCATATTGTCTTTTAAATTTTAAAAAAGGAGAAATTTTTTGCTATCTATACAAGTGCCTACCTCAAAGGAGAAATAAAATAGTCTTGAACATATTAAGGTAAATACTCAATTTTTTAATATCAATTTCAATTTCGGATAAGAGGCCATTCACACTAGGGATGGCAACGGGGCAGGTTGGGATTGGAGCAACCTCCCTCGCTCCACCAGGTAAGTTCCCGTTCCGTTACCTGTTTAAGGCGGGGCGGCACCCTTGTCCCGTTTACTATCCATTTAAATGTTTTTTTTATATATAATAATTCATTTTATAGCTCTTCCATTCATAAAAGTGAGATAATAATATATTTTTAATAATTTTTTTTATTTTTAAAAGTTAAAGTATTCAAATATAAACAAAATCTTTTATTGTTTGTTATATTTTTTGTGATTTTCTATTAGAAAAAATGAAATTTCGTGAAATTTTCTATTTAAAGTATTGAATTAAAAAATAAAAAATAAAAAAATTAAACGGGTAGGGCGGGATACTTGTTATCCGGCCTCGCCCCGTCCGTGACTCGAATATTCATTTAAGTGGGTAATCCACGTTCAGCTCGAGAAGAGCTCCACGGATATCGAGTTTGTCGAGATTTTTTATCATCTCTAATTCACACCTTAATCAAGATATTTAACGGAGCCTCTCAAAAAATAATTATCGAATTATCCAAAGTTAGTTTCACAAATGATCATGGAATTTTGTGTGAATATCAAATTAATCAATATTCTATTTCTTAAAAATACTTATGAATTCAGTGATGATACCAATTAGCATTGTCATAAGTAGTAAAAATAAAAATAATACTATTTAAGAAAATAAATAAGTTCGCCTTTTATCATACTTAGTTGATGGCTTCGGTGAAAATTTTCAAATAACAATGATAACAAAGATAAATAGTTGATATTTATCCGTCCAATTATCAACTTGCTTTACCGTAATCAACGATTTAATGATGTTTTGATATCACTTTGCAACATTAATTATTATAAATTTCATCACGAGTTTTAACTGTACAACAGAAATCAAATCAATGTACTAAACTCGAAAGAAAAAATGCACAAGGTAAAGAATATATATTTTTATTCAAAAAGCATAAAATATAAAATCCATTATGCTATACGTGTCGTGTTACAGGGCGTCACTGACTGGGCGGCCTCTCCTTAATTTTCTGTGTTGAGGAATGAGGAGGTCATTCTTCTGCATAACAACTTGGCTTAAAAACAGATTTTTTTTATTTTTTTTTTCCCAAAAAAAATAAAAAGTTACAGCAATGGATGCATTAGGTCTTCTCAAAATTAGGGTTCGAAGAGGAATTAATCTTGCTGTACGTGATGCAGCTAGAGGTAGCAGTGATCCTTATGTTATTATCAGCTGTGGCGCCCACGTACGTCATTTTTTCTTGAATTTTCAATCCGTCTTGCTCTTAATATATGCACGTAAGATAAGATTTAAATGATATACGTTCATAAGAAAACAAGTTATTAACATTGTAGATCACGTTCAACATGGTAACGTCTCTACGCGTTGCCGTCTCCTATTTAATGATATTGTGCACGGATCTGGTTTTAAGGGGAAAAAAAGATAAAAACATTGACCTTGACAAGGGCAGGCGGAGGACGGTGTATAAATTATATAGGTCGACTGGTTCAACAATATGTTACATGAATCCCTTTTTTACTCAAGCGTGCGATGAAAAATTCTTTTGAAACACAAGGAATAGTTATTCTAAATTAAGAGATAACAGATTTCCGAGTTCTGATATGAATCAATGGGGTAAATGGAATTCAAGAATTTTCATTTTTTTGAGACATTAGAAGTTAGAACCAGAGTCTTTGATTAAAAGATTTCATACTTGAGAATATTTCAGTCTCAAATCTGCATTACCATAGTTGATTCTGTTCATGGTCACGTCAATTTTTATTCTTGAACTTAAACTGGCTAAATAAATCTTTGGTAAGATGGTAATGGTATTTTAATATTTGATTTGGCGATCTTGCAAATTGGAACTTAACTACGTCTGAACACCTATGTTCACCAGGAAATTTTCTTACTATGAGTTGAGTGCATTGCAATTGAAAAACTTTCTGTTTTCATGGTAGAAAGACTTCTGATGTCGAACATATTACTGCAGAAAGTTAAGACTAGTGTTGTGAAGAGCAATCTCAACCCCGAATGGAACGAGGAGTTGACCATTTGCATTAAGGATCTGAATGTTCCTATCGTTCTAGTACGTATCATTCTCCCATATTAACGATCTTTTTTGTTGATGAATATCATTAGCTTTCTTTTTTCAATTTGGTCGATACAAATCCGCGATAGGATTCTCAAATATATGAGCCGGTTTCATCGTCTTGAATTTTGACAGAATTTCCAATATAATTTTGTTTTGAACTCCAAGATGACATAAATACTAATTCTTCTCCTATACTTGGTTTTAGAAGATAGAACAAGGATATGTGAAAATTTTTATGTCTTGGTACTTTCAGACGGTGCATGACAAAGACACATTTTCTCTGGATGACAACTTGGGAAAAGCAGAAATAGACATCAAACCTTACATAGAATGCTTGAAGACTGGATTTAAAGGAGTCTCAGATAGAATTACAGTTGAAAGAATTCAACCAAGTGAGGAAAATTGCTTGTCAGAAGAGAGCTGTATTATCTGGAAAGACGAGAAAATGACACAAGACATGACTCTTAGGTTGCGAAAAATTGAACGCGGTGAAATAGAGCTCCAAATTGAATGGATTAATCTTCCTGGTTGTAAAGGTCTTCCCAACTGAGGTATTAATATCTAAATCTATTTGCCATTGGTTTATATAGAACACGCGAATAAAATAATTAACGACTCTAGATTATGTAATTCAATACATAGCATAAGAAAAGCTGTCGCATAAATTTGAAATCTATACTTAGCTGGTTATTTTTATTAATCCATTGTCAATAATGAATACTACAGTGTACTCTACTAGTCGACAGAGGCTAAAATAAATATGTTTGATCGGTACTTAAGATCCACGTTTGCCACATGGCCCTGATGTGTAAAAGATGAGCTTTTTAAATACTGGGCCCCAGAATACACTACACTGTCTGGGCTTCTGTTTTTTAACCCATAATAGGGCATACAAACAGTAATATGCAATAATGTGGCAAGAAGGGTGAACGAGGACTGTACCTAAGTAAAGTGGAAATTATACATTTCGATACTTTTCAAGATCTATATTCTAAAATCAGATCTGAAATTTTAATTTTCAAAAATCAGATATTTTTTAATTAGATACATTATAATTATTATCAAATAAATATATTATTAAATTTAATTAATTTAGACATCCACCCTACCTCCCTCCACCCACCTCATTTCCCCTAAATCCGTTATCCCTCTGCTCTCTAATAATTTAGAAATCAACCCTACCTCATTTTTCCAAACCCGTTCTCTCTCTAGTCTCTACCTCTCCTCTCTCGTTGCTCTCCTTTCTCTCGTCGCTGTCACGACGATTGAAGCGACGGTCGTAAACGGTGCGGCGATGATGGACCGGTGGTGGCTGAAAATGGTGGTTGCGGTGATGGTGGCGTTGATCTGAAGCAGCAGCTGCCACAACCATCGTCGCGATCGTTTTTTCCTCTGTGCCCCACCCACCCCTCGATTTTAAAACCCTAATTTCTCGTTCTTTTTCTGTGTTTATGAAGCTAATCCATTTTTGTGCTCACCTTTAAATACTAATTTTATGTGTGACGGTGCGGTTTTGGAGATGATGGTAGATCTGGCGGTGACAGATTTGGCAGGTATTGGTGGTGGACGTGGTGGTGGTGATTTCTCGTTCTTTTTCTTTATGTTTGTTTGTTTCAGATTGGAGACAGTGTTTGTGGTGTGACGACAAGATGGCGGTTGTGTGTTGGGGGTTGTGAAGTTGGTTGCGGGTGGTGGTGTTTTGTACAGCGACGATTATGTAGTTGTAATTAGGGGTGTCCAAAAGTCTCGAACTGAACCGAACTGAATCGAGCGATTTTTCATAATTAAATACCCGAACGGGTACCCGAATCGAGAACCGATGGGTTTGGGTTGGGTCTCGGGTCTAGACCAAGAACCGAAGAATCGAATAAGAACCGAAACTAAATAATTTTTTTTATTTTTTATATTGAATTAATTAAATTATTTTATTTTTTTCTATACAAATTAGCAAATTAATTAATTAAATTAGATTATTTCATAATTTTAATTTTAAAGCCCAAATCATTTTTAAAATTCATTAGCCCATTTTAATTTGAAACAAATGAATATACTTTATGTAGTTTTGCTATAATATTAATATATACTTTTTGGTATTTGTATGCATTGAATTAATTTCATTGGATGGCTAGTTATTTATATGTTTTTGAATTGGGCTATGTTAATTTGTAAAAGTTACGAATGAAATGTCATAAGTTGTATTTCTATAGTGTTGCTGAAAATATTAAAAAATTTAATTATGGTACGGAACCGAACCGAATCGAATGGAACCGAACTCGAACGGTTCCATAATTATATTTGGACCCGACGGGTCCATTTATTAAATACCTGAAAGTTTTGGGTTGATTCGGGTCTCTTCAGAACCGAACCGACCCACGAACAGCCTTAGTTGTAACTGTGATGGCAGATCGGAGGGATTTGGTGGTGGTTTTGGAAATGACGATATTACTACTGATTGTCGTGGTGTTTGGGTGGTGGTGATGTTGGTCATTGTGGTTGTCGTGGAGGCGATGGTAGTGGCGATAATGAAGAGGTGGATGTGGAGGTGGATCTGGTCATTTTGGTTTTCTGTAACTAAAAATATAATATGTGACCTTAAAATTGGATAACCTGTGACTAAAAATATAATCTGTAACCAACCATTTCATTATTTGTGATCTAAAAATTATATAATCTTTGACCGTGAAAAAATCTGTGGCTAAATAATTTGGAAATCTGTGTTCGTGTGACCTTAAAATTTGGTAATTTGTGACTAAAAATATAATCCGTCACCAACCATTTTGTTATTTGTGACCTAAGAATTATATAATCCGTGACCGTAAAAAAATCCGTGACCAACTAATTTGGAAGTCTGTGACCGTGTGACCTATAAAAATGTTGTGACCAAAAATCAATATTAACATCTCACATTTACCGAATAGTTGTCGGAACGATCATCGGACATCGGTATAGTCGCGGAATCGAATCAGTCGTCGAAATGGTAGGGGAGGTGGGGTGGGTTAACTATATACATATATATATGTATATGTCAAATATCTGATTTTAGAAATTTGAAAGTTGTTTTTTTATTTTTAATTAAGTATATAGTAAAAATAGGATGAACGAATTTTTCCCCTTAGTAAATGTCCTCACAAAACTCAATCACTGGTTTTTAAAATTATACATAACAAGCTTGGAGGGACGTCTTGAAAATAAAATAAAAATAAAAAATTCTTTCGACCTTTAATGATAAGATGATTAAACAATGTGCACGTATTTAGAAAAGGAAGAGTGTTTGATACAAGACCTTAGCGATAATGTCTCGTTTTATCAAAAGTTTTGCTGAAATTTTTTGTCATATTCTAAATTTTTTTCTTCAGATCAAAGACGGATTAATGTGTTAAATTACACGAAAAAGTTGTTTATCTAGAGGTATTTGAACTACATATTGACAATATGGTAGAGTTCATCCTCGTATTAGTAATACCATAAAATACAAAACCAAAATTTCCACACTTTATTATTATCATTACATTTTATTATGTTCGAAAACCACAACAAATACATAGCATAAGAAAAGCTGTCGTATAAATTTGAAATCTATACTTAGCTGGTTATCATGTTAATTTATTTTTTATTTTTATTAATCTTCTGCGAGTTGTAATAGTTAAACAACCATTGTCAATAATGATTACTAAAGTGTACTTTCTTAGTTGACAGAGACTAAAAATCAATAAAGCTGAATGTATAGCTTTATTTGACAGTCCCTTCACATGGGGGTGAGGCCGCGATTGTGATAGAGTTAATAAAAGTGGTAATTATACAAAACCATACTTTATTATGTTCGAAAACCACAACAAACCCGAAGATTTTCACACAAACCCCTTAAATATTTATATAATATTCACGAATACATAATTTTTATTATAGCAATCCCAAGCAATGGCATCATGCCATGATTGTTTAGAGCTTTTTAATTGGGCTTGGTAAGATGGTGAGTCTCCATATCTTTAGTAACAGCAAGGCAGAAATCCATCAATGTGTTGGGATCTGGGACATTCTCGTTCTTCTTCTCGTACTCGAGAGTCCATGTTACCAAGTTGTCATCTCCATTGGTGTCGACGTGAACAGTTAATTTGAAGGTGTTATATAACTCCAAGAGGTCCCCTTCGATGACCTTGTAGGTCACTGACTTCTTTGCCTCGTCTATTGCTTCAATTATCTCTTTAGCAACACACTCTTTTCCGTCTAGGATTCACAACAAAAAATGAACCATGATTATATACAATTCTATAACTTTGAAACAATTAGAAAATTACAAAAATGAAGCGGTTCGATTTCATCAGCAAATTAGGGCAACTAATTAAGGGCTCGTTTGGCATGGCTTTTGAAAAGTCGTAAGGAGTTAAGACCTAAAAGCTGCTTTTGGACCCGCTTGACTAATTTTATGAAAGTGGTTCCGATAATTAGAAAAAAACTTTAAGAGGAAGTTGATTCATTATGACTCTCTCTAAAATCATTTCTAAAATAGAAAGTACTTTCAAAAATTAAGGTGACTTCCTCAAAAAATTCTTTTACAGGAAGCAAAAACAAAAGTCATATCAAACAAGTTCTAAGTCTAACAACGCGTATAACCATTCGAAGGAAAAACAACAGTAGAAAAGCGACTCTTGATACCGCACAAGAACAACGCCGTTAAAATCCATTAACATTTGCCATAATCGATCGGTAAACATGTCAATTGATTATAGTTTCATACACAATATAAGAAAAAAAATTATTGACTCGTCAAATTATTGATCGTATATAGAGTTACCATGGGTGTAGTTCCAGTAGATGACCGATCCAACAGTTCCCCACTGTCCATCATGCAAATCACATTTCTGAATGTTAGCAGGGCTCATGCCTGATATATGATGTGGTCTCTCTCTAAATATTTCATGGAAAACATCTCCATCTGACTTAACAGGTATTTGAGAAACCAATTTTCCCATAATGTCTTTCCCACAAATATATATAAATATTAGAAAAGAAAGTAAGGATATCAGATATCCATGAACACTGAGGTCTTTATATAGAATTTTCCATCTTTGCTTGTTGATATTATTTAATATAAACGTAGGGCAGGCATATCTGCCCTGCCAGATGGTGCTGCGATCGAGTATTTGATAATTAAATACATTTAGCAGTCCCCAACCAGCACCCATCTACACATAAAAATGAGGCCAAATATGCAATTTTCTAGACATCTCGTGATGGTTCTATAGTTGGTGTCTAAGTCGAGCTGAAAAATATTTGCGAGTGCTATAGGTTTTATTTCCGGTGTTGAAGTCAAGTTGATTGTGGAATAGCTTGCAATACATTTGCAAATGCTAAGGGGTTCTATACTTTTCTTATACTTTCATGTCGACAACTTAATTCATCCCAAGTGCTAAGGGTTCTCTTATCAGTATCTAAGTTCTACATGGATGAAGCCAATCCAGAATATCTAGAGGTGAATGTGGGATAACTTGCAGCACATTTGCAAGTGCTAAGGGTTCTCTTATCAGTATCTAAGTTAAGGTGTACGATCGATTATTTGTATATGAATTTCTCGAAATTAATTTGAACTCCAACACATAGTTCCAATATTTAATATATATTAAATTTATTTTTATTTAGCGTTAATACTCTGCCATTCTAGCCTAGCTATTATTTTAAACAAACTATCAACATAATTTAACAAAAGAGTCCATTTTATATAAAACTAATAGGAGATTTGTCCCAGATATATCTTATCGAATAGGATGCCTCAGCACTATAAGCAATGGTTTATGGACATATTAGAGGACCAAAGCGTCCTCAAATCCAAGAAATTATTCGAATGTATCAAATCTTTAAATTAAAGAAGAAGAAAAAACCTCTATCCTTGTGTTCTATTCTCTTCGTGATATAAAAAAATCTATCCACGCACGTAAGTATTGGTTTATTTAATCGTATGGAGATGGATGAATCCACAAGATTGTTTGAATGATATCCTTCAACTTCTTTAATGCGTCATGCGAGTCTAAACTTAATCCATCTATAATTGTTTATTCAATTATTATAAGGGTTTGTTTGATTCAAATTCCATATTAGTTGGAAAATAAAAACCCATCAAACCTATAGGAATTCGTTTTCCATGAAAACAAAGAAAATGTAACTTAAAGTGGTTGTACCTTGGAATTCGGTTTCCATTTTTACGTTGCAATCAAACAGTCAAAGTGTAATTCGTTTTCTTTAAACGTGATATTTTCCATGGACTTCGTTGCAATCAAACATGATCTAACTTCTTTAATGTGTCGTGCGAATCTAAACTTGATCTAATCTATTATTGCTTATCCAATTATAACTATAAGTCGAGTAATTAGACTCATGTCCATTTTCTTGAGATAAGAATTATTTTAACCAAGAAGACGCATATCTTGAGTCTCATCATATTCATAAATTTAAAATTCTAACTTAGTATACAAATAATAGAAAAAGATTACTTCTATCAATTGACGACGCCCATAATGAGGTGATCTCGTAATTGTAAATGAGATAAGATCGAATGATTAATTACAAACTAAGAAATTATTGTGAGCAAATAAATGAATTTGGGTCCCACCATATCACATGAAACACGTACATTATTTTTCCATCTATTTAAGATTACATCGCCGATTAGAATAATGTTATCTAACACCACTGATACTATAATAGCAATTTTAATGACTACAAGTGATACGCTCAACAAAATGTAGAATTAACTGATTCATTTAATTATACATTTTCGTTTAACATCTGCCACTTAGATTGACATTAATACCATATTAAATAGCATTTTTTATTAATTAATTATCACTAATCAAAGACTTATTGAATTTGGGTCCCACCATATCACAAGAAACACGTACATTATTTTTCCATCTGCCTAAGATATATAAATGAATTTGGATCCCACCATATCACATGAAACACATACATTCTATTTAAGTTAATTAGAATAATGTTATCTAATACCCCTGATACTATAGAATAATGCTACTTGCAGTCACTCACTGTAGCAGTCGCCATATGTGGCACACACATGTCAAGTGTGTATTTGATACATTAAATGTGGCAAAAAATTATCACATTAATGCATCAAATAATTACATGTCATATATGTGCTACATAGGGTGATTGCTGCAGTGAGCGATTACAAGTAGCATTACTTGATACTATAATAGCAATTTTAAGTGATTATAAGTGGTACACTCAATAAAATGTAGAATTAACTTATTCATTTAATATCACATTAGTGCCATGGAAATTAATACCATATTAAATAGCATTGTTTTATTAATTAATTTTCACTAATCAAAGACTCGTTGAATTTCAGTTCATGTGCACTCTTTAAATGTCATTTCACTGAAGATAAGGATAAGAAAAAAAGGGCGATTTTTAATTTTTTTAAAAATAAAATGGAATTTATAAATCTTTTTCAATATAACTTGAGTGTAATGGGAAATTGGTACAAATGGTCTCAAATCTTTGTCCATATTGCATAATTGGTCTAAACCTTTTAAAATTGGGCCAATGATTCCAAACTTTTTCTTTTTCGGTGCAATCGATCATTTTGAATGGATACTATCCAAAATAACTATTAATTTTATGCCTGAAACGCACTTTCTTTTAAGGTAAATTATACTAAATCTCTGTTTGAGCGACATTAAAATTTTCATTTTCATTCTTCCACTCATTTTAACCGAACATTATTCAATAAAATAATATTTTTCATCGCATTAATAACTTTTCCTTCTTTCTCAACTACATATTCTCCATCAATCTACTATTCCAAAATACATTCTTCCGAAATAATGTGGCTCAAACATACCCTAAATGACAAATATAACAATCTTGTCCCTAACCATTTTTTTGTCTTCTTTTTGTAACTAAGCTTCGAGATATTAAAACCAAGTCTCTCTTATTAATGTATTTTTAAAAGAAATAAATTTCACTGTGGGTCCCAACCTTTTCATTTTGTGGAAATTTCCTCCCCACAATTTTATCCATCATCTCATACTCAATATTTTATTTCCTTGCATATATCGTCCAATTGATGATTTCCATCCATTTTTGCAGTTAATGTCCGGTAAGTGAAGAAGAGAAAAAAAAGTAAAAAATAAAAATCTACTTCTTCCCTCATCATACAACCCAATTCTTCTTCTTCACACCCAAACTCACCCATGTATAGTGCTCAAATCTACCTACTTCATACCCCCAACCCCACCGCCACCATCACCAATATTACTCAAAGCTCTGCTCGTCTAGCCAAAATCACAAAACCACTAAATGTCGGCGTTTTCTCCTTTCGTAAATTGTACTTCTTTTGAAAAAAAAAATTGTCTGATTCTAAATTAGAATAATGTTATCTAATACCACTGATACTATAGAATAATGCTACTTGCAGTCGCTCACTACAGCAGTCGCTCACTACAGCAGTCGCCCTATGTGACACACATGTCAAGTGTGTATTTGATGCATTAAATGTGGTAAAAAACTACCACATTAATGCATCAAATAATTACATGCCATGTGTCTGCCACATAGGGTGGCTGCTGCAGTAAGCTGCAAGTAGCATTGCTCGATACTATAATAGCAATTTTAAGTGATTATAAGTGGTACACTCAATAAAATGTATAATTAACTTATTCATTTAATATCACATTAGTGTCATGGAAATTAATACCATATTAAATAGCATTGTTTTATTAATTAATTTCACTAATCAAAGACTTGTTGAATTTCAGTTCATGTGCACTCTTTAAATGTCATGTCACTGAAGATAAGGATAAGAAAAAAAGGGCGATTTTTAATTTTTTTTAAAATAAAATGGAATTTATAAATCTTTTTCAATATAACTCGAGTGTAATGGGAAATTGGTACAAATGGTCTCAAATCTTTGTCCATATTGCATAATTGGTCTAAACCTTTTAAAATTGTGCCAATGATTCCAGACTTTTTCTTTTTCGGTGCAATTGATCATTTTGAATGGATACTATCCAAAATAACTATTAATTTTATGCCTGAAACGCACTTTCTTTTAAGGTAAATTATACTAAATCTCTGTTTGAGTGACGTTAAAATTTTCATTTTCATTCTTCTACTCATTTTCAACAACACATTTTTCAGTAAAATAATATTTTCTATCACGTCAATAACTTTTCTTTCTTTTTCAACCACATATTTTCCATCAATCTAATATTCCAAAATACATTCTTCCAAAATAATGTGATTCAAACACACCCTAAATGACAAATGTAACAATCTTTTCCCTAACCATTTTTTTGTCTTCTTTTTGTAACGAAGCTTCGAGATATTAAAACCAAGTCTCTCTTATTAAAGTATTTTCAAAATAAATAAATTTCACTGTGGGTCCCAACCTTTTCATTTTGTGGAAATTTCCTCCCCACAATTTTATCCATCATCTCATACTCAATATTTTATTTCCTTGCATATATCGTCCAAGTGATGATTTCCATCCATTTTTGCAGTTAATGTCCGGTAAGTGAAGAAGAGAAAAAAAGTAAAAAATAAAAATCTACTTCTTCCCTCATCATACACCCCAATTCTTCTTCTTCACACCCAAACTCACCCATATATAGTGCTCAAATCAACCTACTTCATACCCCCAACCCAATTCTTCACCCCACCGCCACCATCACCAATATTACTCAAAGCTCTGCTCGTCTAGCCAAAATCACAAAACCACTAAATGTCGGCGTTTTCTCCTTTCGTAAATTGTACTTCTTTTGAAAAAAAAAATTGTCTGATTCTGAATCCTAAGATAATGGATAGTTCAAGCGATGGTGCCAAAATTGATTTTGGATGGAAATAAAAGTTTAGGAATTGTGTTGCCAAAATGAAAGGTACGTGACGATTTGCACTTTTGAAAAGGTAGACCCCAACTGCAATTTTTTCCTAGAACAAATTAAGACAGAGTGCATTTCACACATAAAATCAACTGCTATTGGGATGAAATTCATCCAAAACGACCATTTGCGCCAAAAATACAAAGTTTTGTAACCATTTGCACCATTTTTGAAAGGTTTGGACCATTTTTGCGGTGTGGGCGAATTAAAATGAAGTATGCAATGGGATTAAACTATACGTATTTTGTAAGTTGAATTGAATAAAAGAGTACTTGACTTTGAAAATACATCTAGGATCAAATTCTTGAACGGAGAATGCAATTGAATCAACTACAAATATGTTAAATATATTAGAGACTTAGAGTGAACCAAATTATACCCTAAGGTTTAACGAAACAATCATGCAGAGTTGCAGTCAGATGGGTTCATTGTAAGAGGTAGAACTCAAGAAACAGGACTAGTGTTTCACTGATTCAACCGACGGGTTAATGGCTCATCGCAAGGTCAAAAAGTAAACTGAAACTTCTTCTTTTTTTTCCTATAGGTTTAAAAGTTAAAGTAGATTCTAAATTAAAAATTCATTTTAAATTGGAATATATAAATTTCCAAATTTTCTCTTTTAAGAAATTAAATATAAGATTTACACATTTTTCATATTACTTGGCTTTCATTTCTATTTACCATTAAAATTCTGTTTTGTCATATTTTTTAAAGACAAAAATATTTAACGTGTTTTGAGAAATATATTCTAAACGTAAGCATGAGATACATAACTTTTAAAGACACAATTGTATCAATAATAAGGTCCTTGGTGAAACTTTGCATTCTTCATTTTGTGATTTTTCAAAAAACGTGTTGAAAATTTGCAAAAAAAAATCGATTGGTTTAGATTGATCGATTCACGGGTTTTAGCAAAAATCTGACCAGTTCAAACAAGCCAATGCAATTCAAATATGCATTTGGTCCGATTATGCTGACCAAATCAGATCCGGTTCATCGGACTTCTGGTTGGACCAGTCGATCGGACTTCTGATTTAATGGCTATGGACTCAACTATAGCTCATTGAGTTGCAAAATTATCATTCCCTTAGTTAATAGCATTTTTTATTTTCAAATAGATGGTAGGAAGCATAATTTATTTATTGGCCTCCTCGTTGATCCTTTGAGTTTTGTTCTTTGCCGAAAAACTCATCAATTATTTATAATATCGAAATTATGATATAGAAGAAAATGCACGTAAATGTTAAACCCGTAAATTTTATCACAGCCAAGTCCAAAAAGTCTTTCTAATTTTCTAATTTATATTATTCCGATGGATTTTATCATTACTAATCCATCAATATATTGAAAATTATTTTTTGAAATGATGATACCTTTGAAAGAACATTTCAAGAAACATCATCGTGCCTTTGTTCCTAGCAGATAACATCACGAACACTCAACTCTTCGAATTTTTTGCTTACCTTATGTCTGCACTTCAGAGAAATTTTCAACCAATTCACCTCTTCCGGGATTTGCCTCACTCTTGTCACAGATGCAGAATCTAAACCATTTAAATTTTGATCTAAACTTGCCTTTGCTCACTAACCCTGTTTCTTGAGTCAATGAACCCCTCTGACTGCAACTCTGCCTGATTGTTCTATACTTGTTTCTTTAAACCTTAGAGTTCAAGGATACACACTCCATCACCTAAAGTAAACATGTCTTCCCACATAGCAGTTTCAACAAAAGGCCCATCTGAAGCAATTACAGAACACCACCTCTAGTTCCTTGTATTCACTCTAAACATCCATGATTTGCACCATGTGCTTGCTCCAACTAATCTTCCTTCTCTTTGCCTAGAGTAAGTTGCTGAACCAACAAGGTCTAACATGTTGCTCCTAACTTAACCTCATATTTCACAATTATTATCATTCTTGTTAGTTGTTGCCATTACAAGAGACTCAAACGATCACAATGCAGCTATGATAGAAACCTCAATGCCAAGTGGCTTTTTCATAGTGTTTTTGTTTTCTCTAAATCCAAAAAAGGAGAATAAACAAATGTAATGTTGAAAAAGAGGAGGATATTTTCTGCCACAAAACTAAAACTAATACATGTTTTCTTTTCCTACTCGGATGACATAGCAATTCAAGATGCATTAACACCAACAAAAAGATTTATGAATTTATACAATCTGAATAGATAAAAACTCAGTCTACTTGCAGTTAAACCTTCCATGATAAATTCAAAACCAACACTCTTTCACCTCCATTAATTACCTCAATACGTAGTATCTCGTCAAGACTATTCCTGGACAGGTAGGTGAAAATGTTAATTAAGATACTCATTTTAAACCACCGTTTGGATACCTTTCATAAACTGGTTTATAAATGCAGTCAATGTCAAACAATAATTCAACTACACATTCATAACTACTATTCATTATTATCCACCCATTTCGTAGAACCCACTATTATTCCTCATATTGTTCATATTTATAAACCATTCTAAATTTGGCAAATGGTGTCTAACATAGTGGCAAAAGCACAATATCTGGAAAAAAAAAAAATACTTGCAGATTCTTAATTTTTTATACAGATACTCAATGAAACACAACATAGATAAAATATGTTCTAATGCTTCCACCCTGAAAATTCACCAATTCACAAAAAAATCGTAGTTTCCAAGGGACAAACACTTTTTTTAAGTCAAAGTTCATTGCAATGCCAAATTTCAATTATATGTTATATGTAACAAATATTAGAGAAATAGTAGGAAATATAAGAATAATTATTGAGTCCATAATTTCCGCTCTAAAAGTATAAAAGAGAAAATTACAATAATATTAAAAAAGAGAATTTGTGTATAAAAATGATAAATCACAATAAGCGTCATCTCCCTTTTAAATATAGTATAGACAAGAGGGACAGATATGTAAGGAAGACACTTGAAAGTTCCCTTCATTATTGCTAAAAAGAAACATTTCTAGCATATTACATGAAAATAATAAAGTTTAACAGTCTTCTAATGGCTCTATTTTTGGTCAGACTACAATTTTGTGCATTACAAATGTGCAGAAGAGCACAAGTAATTTCACTGTGCAGTTGCACTCTAACATCTCAGGGAAGTTGCACTCCAAGTCACAAAATAAACTGGCGATTACCTTATTTCTGAATTATTTCTTTATTAAGTCAGCTGACTCCTTTCTGGTGTTGACAGAAACTGGAGGTGTAGGGAAACCATTTTGCTCGTCAGAAATCAATAAATCATCACTTTTTATATTACTGTTTTTGTATTCTCTCATTGAGTCAGAAGAGGCTCCAAATATCTGCACGGTTAAACTTCCACCTGTTTATCAAAAAGAAGCAATTTATTACTATAGGTTTCATGTAGAAGGAAAAGAAGCAAGCTAATCAGAACTTTCCGTTTTCAGATTCCAGTGTCCTACTGTTCATTGATTTTGCCATAAATATATGCTGTCAGAGACAATATAGTTCTCATTTTTAAGATTACATATATCTCTCTTGGCAGCAATCATCAAAATCTTGTGTTTCTACTTCATGTCATTTTTCTTTGAGATGTTCATATTCCATGGCAAAATTTGTCCTCTTATTTCGTTCATTAGTAGATAAAGTAATGAAATATATAAAGTAAATGAAATATATTACTCCTGCCAAAATTAGATACTTCGGTTTAACTACAAATGATCATTGACGTAGGAATTGAAAGTTATTTGCTCAGTGTCATTTTACAATTACATTTCTTGATGAGAGACATAAGTGATTTAAGGGTTCACTTATCAAATGATTTCCCTTGAAAAGGTAAAACCAATTATTTCCGTATCTGTTAGTTCATTTACAACATTTCAGACCTCACTTAAAAATTCAGTTATTCCATGTTTTGGTTTCTACTTCAAGTAGGATTGCTCATGTTTTTCACATTAAACAGTGCCAAAGTATAGGCCTATTATTAGGATCTAAATCACGTTACCAATTCAAGGTTTAGTATAACTTCAAATCCTTTATGACCAAATTTATTGATGTAGGAATCGGAAGTGATTTGTTCAGTGTCATTTTACAATTACATTTCTTGACGTGAGACAAAAGGGTTCATTTATCAAATGATTTCCCTTGAAAAGGTAAAACCAATTATTTCCATATCTGTTAGTTCATTCACAACATTTCAGACCTCACTTACAATTTTTAGTTATTCCATGTTTCGGATTTTACGTCAAGCAGTACTACTCTCATTTTTCCACATTAAACAAAGCCAAAGTTTAGGCCTCTTATTAGGGTCTAAATCATGTTCACTTAAAGGTTCTGTATAACTTCAAATCCTTTATGACTCTAAATTTCCAAACAATTTTTAGAAATACTTAAATAAAATAAACTAGGAACCAAAAGGACAGACCAAAAAACGAAGTTGAATATAATGATTTATTTAAGAAAATGAAAGTATCTTACCTATCACAAGAGCAGCCCCAATCCATCCACTAATGCCCCATCTCTCACCAAGTAACAACCAAGCAAATGCAGCACCCCATACTTGTTCCAACCCATAAATTATTGCAGTTTCTGTGGCTGAAACATCACACATGGCAGCAATCTGTGTAATCAAAATCATACTCAGACTAGATGACAGAATTCAATCACATATATTTTGTGATGACTGAAAGAGCAAAACCTATGATGCATGGACACTTCAACTAGGGCCGCACGTCCGTGTTCAACACATGTCGTGTCGTGTCTTTTTGAACACTGACACTCTTTGGACACTCTGGGACTCAAGTTCAATAAGCCACATGCCATGTCCTATTTTTAATATATTCTTTAATGCTCAAAGGATCCTGACATTCTTCATGCATGAGTTTGACATGGCATGTGCCTTGCCTTATATTAAAAAGTATAAAAATAAAGGTATATATAAATTTAGAAGTTTAAAGAATTTAAATCGATGAGTCCATTTCCCACTTTTTAAAAAATCGTGTGTTGGTGTGACTGTGTCAAATCGAATCCGTGTCCATGCAACATAGAGCAAAACTAACTGAATATCTTAGACACCACAAATACCATGAGAGAGAGAGAGAGAGAGAGCTAAGAGTACAATTCATCCCCATTTGTTAATTGTAAGAATCAGTTGTAATTTGCCTGATTTTAACATAGCGTCATGAAATCAATAGTGAAAAGATATTGAATTACTTGAAGTGGCTTCAAATATCATCATTACAACAAAAACTAACGAAGACTATATGACATATTCTGAATTCTAAGACATACGTCAAACGGCATATTGGAGAAAAAGAGGCGGCTGAATTTGCTATGCTCCAAGGCAGGTACAGAAAGAAAATGAACTTGTTAAGAGCCTGAGTCACTAGGAAAATGAATCAAGAAACCACAACTTGATGCTACTCTTCAAGAAAGATAAATGTAAGATAGTATAGAACTGGAGAAAGATTGACAAGCTGAGTAAAGTTTTATAAGTATGATAAACCACATTTAAAAAAAAAAATAAAGAGTTTTGTGGCTATTGCAAGTTGGTTAAAATTTTCTATTCATGGCAGATTATTATTATTTCCAATAAAGAAAGCATGTGTTCCGAAATAATGCATATTTTTAATTCAGTAATGAATATTGATAATTACCAACACAAATATATTTAAATAAATTTACAATGAACACAGCCAGAATTCCTAGAAATAATCTGTGCCAAATAACACCTAGAGCATATACTCAGAATATGACAAAAGTTACAACATAATTGGAATACTATACAACAGCGATAAAAGTATTACAATGAAATCCAAGTAGACAGGAAAAGAAAATGAGGAAAAGCGATCTACTGTCTCAAAAAGGCAAAAAGAAAACCTTTTGCACACATCTAAGGTGAGAAGTAAAAAGAAATCAGAAACCAACATTTCATTTTGAAGACTAAATACTGTACCTCTACCCATAGGCATAGACTTGTTGAAAATATGCCAGTGTAAAGTGCAGGTATCCAAGGAAATGTTGCAATCCAATGCCAAGATGTTGCCCATGTCCAAGATGATATATTTGATTCTTGAATGCCACCCCCAAACCAGGTTTCCATAGAGTACCAAATAGTTGATAGAAGAGCAACAGTGCATATCTGTAAGAAAAAGAAGTTTACACCAACAATGATAAAGAACTGGTGGTAGGAAGTGCTCACATTAATCACGAACTAACCTCATATCCGAGGAGTGGTAAGTAGTTTTCTTTAATTGTACTTCTCGAAATATGTTCAGTTCTAAGCATATGAATCCCAAAAAACACAGCACTTAAGAAGTTTAACAGGTCTCCAACCTGAAATATTTCATCAAATCAGTGAACTTACCTAAGTAAATGTACTTGGTTGCACAAAGAGCAACAAGAATGATGATTTCATTTAGATAAATGTATAGGCCAAGAAGCACAACCACGAGACAAACAACATTCGACACGGACATGCTATCACGATTATGTTCGTTAAAGTACTTTAAAATTATATATTTGTATGGCTTTTTAATTTTTTAAACAAAAAATCAATATTGACTCTTTTAACTTTGATTTTGAATTTTGCAGGTGCTATCTTTTGAATATGAGGACCACTGTTTTGTTGTATTAAGATCATTTTGACATTTTTACTCAAATGTTCAAACAATTATATTTGCCATAATTTTGTATTCCAATATTAACAAAATGAAACTTACAGTGTCCCTAACATGTTGGGCCATGTCCCCCATGTCAGAAATTATAAAAATATTGTGCCAAGTGGCATGTTGGACACGGATATCAGGCAGGTTTTGGCCACGTTTACCTCATTTCAAAAGTTTAATAGAAATTTGGAAAAAGGAATAGGACACTGGCCTGTCGGACACGTGTCCCAACATGTCCAAGGTGTGTCAATGTCCTATACATGTTGGCTACTCATATTCCACCCTATGCTGAGTATCCGTGCTTCATGGCATTTATGAAAATCAACAGCACACTTACACATGGTGGTGATCCACTGGACTCTAGCATTCCAACCCCAACGATAGACATGAGAGCTCCAAACCAGGTAAGAGCAGGTACCTTGGATCCTAACATGCCATCAATCAAGGGTACAACAATCACCTAAACATTCACTGTATGCTAGTGAGAATTAAACCATATAGCAGTAGCAAGCAGCAAAATATTTGTCAGTAATGGGTAATAGATCATGATTCTGGATAAAACTAAAGGAGATTCCCTTACTGTGAACATAGTAAGAAATGATGCTCGTCCAGCATCAGATGTAAGTAGTCCAAGTGCTTGCATAATATACCCTAAGCTGACCCAAAATCCCAACTCTAGCCCTGCTTTACGGGTTTCGGCATCACCTCTAGCCTGTAGTACAAATGGTATAAATGGCAATGAAGCCACAACGAATCGCACAACAGTGAAGGCCTCAGGATCAATGATTGCTTCAACTTCCTTCACAACAGGAATGTTACTAGCTGAAACAACAAGGTGTATCTAAATAAATTAACCTTCAATTGCTATAAACTACAAGTTTCCGAAGAGATAACTGATGTTAATTTGCACACATCAGCTGTAAGACAAATAAATTCTTTGATCGATAAAATCTCAAAACACACTGACAAAGACACAATGCAGGTCTTAATGCAACATTTCTTTCCATCCTTTTCTTGTTGCATGAAACTTAAGGAATCATTTTGTATTAGGGTGAGCTTGATTGTAAGGGTGGAAAATGGGTGGAAAGAAAATATTTTATAGGGAAAAGATTTGCCTAAAAAATATTTTGCATGGATAATGATTTCAAGTGTATTTGAAAAGGAAAAAAATTTTTTCCTAAAAAATCATTTTTTATCAAATTTTAGTGTTCGTTTGACTTTGTTTTACGTGAAAATTGTCCATTAAAGTGAATTTTTTTTTTTTACAATTGATTATGATATTTGTTTCCATTGCCAAAACAAAAAAAAAACAAAAAAACAAAAAAAAAATAAATAAATAAAAATAAAAATGGGAAGCAGCAAATGGAAATCATTTTCCCACCATTTTGGTGGGAAAGTGATTTCCCCAAAAACAAGGAATTGCAGCTCGTGAACTTCATGCCAAGAAAACATTTGTCCTAGAAAATGTTGCTCATCAAACAGGTCAATACCAAGAAAAAGGAATTCATTTTCCTACTTCCAAGGAAAATTCGGCCATTCAAACAGGCCCTTAATTATCGGACAGAAGGAATTTACCAAATATATCAGTTAAAAAATGAAGCAACTTTAAATGAATAAAAGATTTGGCATTCTCTTCCAAGGTGAATTCAATAGATTTAAGAATTTGCAAAGTCAATGTAATTACTAATTACTTTGGACAAGTCCCATAATTATTGCTCATTCTCTCCTTTCTTCAGAAAGCACCAAAAGCAAAGATGATCAAGATAAGTAAAAGAGACATGACGAGAACACTTTCCAGGAAACATTTTCGACATTTTATACTACTTGGATCTCTAATACAACAATGCCATCTTTTTCTGTTGCACATACAATAACGGTTCCAACTTTTTCCTTCCAAAGAATTCATGAAATCTTCCATATGTAGAATGAAATCATCCTTGTTTGCTTCAAGCAAAAATAAATAAATTTTCTCAATACTGCCACAAGTCCTCCTTCCAAAGTTCTCTTCTGGAATATTATTTATCAATCTAGTGGATATAACTTCACTCTGTTTAAGTTGCATAGACAAACAACGACAAATAAACTAATATCCCAGATACAAGAATTCAATCGAATTAGGTTCAAGAAGCATGCCAAACTATTGCATTGCACCTTGGCTATCAACACGTATTTTCATCTAGTTTTAGTTACACCTTCAAAGTCCAGTCACTACATGCTGACAAGACACTCTACAACTACTATACCATATTTTGCTAAGAAGCATATCTAAATGAGTTCCTCCATCAAAACCACGGCACCTCTCTTATGTAAAGTATAAGATGTTACTCATCCTTAATCTGCCACTCTACATAATCAAAATTATCAAGTTGGCACTCAGAGTTAAGCATCTCAACGCTATGTCGTTTTCTCATGCTACAGAAAATCCATAATGACTGAACTAAATAAAGCCTTAAAAGAAACTAACGTCCTAGTATGTGGGCAAATTTGCCCAAGTACACAATCATTACTAAAACGAATTATTTAGTAATTAAAATTTTTAACTTGCAAACATAAAATAAAAAACTAAAAATTGATTATGAAAATTCAGAAGCTTACCATAGATAATAGTGATGACATTTAGCAAAAGTATGCTTCTCACTTTCTTGGATGCAAAAAATATTCTTCGCCACAATGCTCGTCTTCCAAACAATGATTTGAAACTTAAACTCGGACCCTTCTGTAATCCAGAAAAAGCACCATTTATTGAAGAACTGTAGGGTTCTTTATTTTGCAAATCATCGTTTATTTTAATGGGTCCCACCGATTTTTTCAATCTCTTTTTTCCACGATCTGTAGCAGCACAACACGCAGAAGAAGAAAATGAATAGAAATTGGAAGACCATGCTATAATACGATGCCGTTTGGAGTTATAGAAATGGGGAAAATTGGAGGAATGTAGAGAAAATGTAGTTTTGTTGGATGGCCATTGCCATGGCGACGGTGCAGCCATAGATGGTGAAACTCAGCTCAGCCAAACGTAATTCTCTTCGCTTCTGAAAATTGTTGCCAGGCAGTCCCAAATATCCAGCTGGGACAACAAAAATTGCAGATAGTTTGAAGAAGAAAACAGTATGAAATATAAAACATGAAAATCAAAATATTAAATATCTGAAATTGAATATCTGAAATTGAATAAAACCTCAAAAGGCT